TCCGTCGATATGCTCCATTGTTGTGTGTTTGTTTGTGGCGCATTTACGATGATGTCACGGCAATAGAGGCGGCGCAACTATAACGACACGTGAATAATCCTGCCCACTCTAAAGCGGCACTAAACTGCAGTCGAAATGCAAACTGAGCCAAACCAAGGTGAGCTGTACTGAACCGTGCTGTGCCGTACTATGCAGTGGAAAAGCGCCATATGTCAGGCTTGTCAGCCTAGGGCCCCCAGATAAGGTAATCTGCCCCCTGGTGGTCGAGCCACACAGTGCAGAGTTGTGTTCATGCAGGCTTCCCCTTTGTCAGCCACCTGCCGCCTCTAGATCTGCCTCACACAGTGAACGTGCTGCACCGACTGAAGCTGCCTTTGCAGGAGAACTTGCACATTATGGTGGCTGGCTCTCCTGAACCGCTCTCCTGTCTTGTGTGAATCCTTCCCCCCCAGTGGCGACTCCGCCAAGCAGGATGGAGGTTCACGGTCATCGATTCCAAGTACATTTCCCTCTACACAAGTAAGTTCCCGAAGTGGAGTGAGCACCTCCAGTCAGTGGATGTGGCTTAAGATGCCTTCACACCATGCAGCTTTCGAAGGTTTTCACGGTACTGTGAGCCCGTCCTGATTCTGATATCCCAAAACCCTCTTTAGCACACTCACGTGCAAGAAACCTCACGTCCAATTTTATGATCCCTGAAACGAAACTTTACCCTTCACTGTACTGGTTTGGGACCAATGAGATCTGTAGTAGGTTTACATTAACTGGTTATTTTGGAATCAAATCGGATTGATTTTCTGTTGGCATTTTAAGCCTTTTAGGACTGGAATGAGATTACAGGGCCGAAATGACTTGTGACCTCCATGTCAAATTGTGGAATTTGCTCAGAGAGCTTGGCGGAGCATGAGAGCCCAGTGTCCATGGATGCGGCTTGTTTGTGATTCTTCGTGTGTGAGTGGAGCTGCAGTCTGTGCTGCATGTCTGCGGGACACATGTAGTGCATGTGTTCTTTTTTTTGGTCGCATTCCCAGATGAGTCGGCTCTCAAGATGAATGAAGTGGGTCACATTCCGCTGTCGCCCGCCAGTCACCCACGCTCCCCCTTGCCTGTCCCCCACCCCGGCCATCTCGGCATTGACATGCTGCGGGACGACCCCCGCGATTCTCTATACCAGGGTGAGCCCCCCCATCTGGGTTTCCTGGTCCCTGGGGCTTCATTTGGGCGGGTTAGGTTGAGGCTGCTTTCTCAAGGCTGACTCGTTCCCTCCCCTTTCCTGTCCCTGACCCGTTCCCTCCCCTTTCCTGTCCCTGATTCGTTCCCCCCCCTTTCTTGTCCCTGACTCGTTCCCTACCCTTTCCTGTCCCTGATTCGTTCCCCCCCCCTTTCCTGTCCCTGACTCGTTCCCCCCCCTTTCCTGTCCCTGACTCGTTCCCTCCCCTTTCCTGTCCTGTCAGTGCCACTGGTGGACGAGGAGCTCCTGCAAGGCGTCCTGCCCACCTGCTCCTACAAGCCCAGCTACCTCATCCGAGGGTTTGCCTTGCTGAGGTACCAGGGCCTGCAGTTTGTAAGTGAAACCTCTCAGTGCTCCCCCACCTTAAATCCACCCCACTTTAGCTTACAGTAAAACCTTTTGATTGCCTCATTGCATCTCCTTAAAGCCCACGTCACTTACAAGGTCCTGAAAAAGCTAAGCCCCGTAGAAAGGGCCCAGTCAATAAAAATGTAATTAGAGGACGTTTTGACCAGTTGTTCTGACAAGGGTCCGATATTGACTACAGTCTTATGCTTGATTGGCCAGATCCACATGACCTATGTTTACCCCAATGATTACACACGGCTGACCCACATGGAGAGTGACAACAAGTGCTTCTACGAGAACACTGACAGGTGAGGGTGCAGGCCTGGCTTCCTTTCTGCTCGCTATAGCAATGAGGTTGTAGGGAAGATTCACCCATCTTCCAATCAGTTATCCTGGATAGACCCACAGGAAAAGGGAGACTGGAGCCTGCCCAGTCAGCAGGGGGTGCACAGTAGGACTCCAGCCTACACACACACACACACACACACACACACACACAATACAGAAACACCAAACTGCTTGTCTTTGCAATGTGGGAGGAAACACAGCACACAATACGGGCGAGTTTATGGAGAACCTCGGCCTCACCTGGGTGTGTGAGGGAACAGGGCTGCCCCCTGAAACACTGTGCCCCCCCCCATCTGGGAAATCATTGCAGGTATTGTTATTAAATGCAAACAATTTTAATAGTAATTTGTAGTAACAGTGTGTGTCAGGGCTTGTGTTTTTCTTCTAATTTGTAGTGCTGTGATAAACCACTAGATGGCAACCAGGGTCTCCAGAGATGGTCTCCCAACATCTCCAGTCATTTGCTAATAAAAATGTTTTATGGGTTGTCCTTCAGCTGTAAGAGACTTAATTAAGAAAAGTTATCCACTTTTAATGGTTTGTAAGATTGTGTCACTCACCTCAAACTGTCAGTAACCTCAGAATCACTTTGGAAGGTCTGGATTCTCTAAATACATGAAGATTGATGATCCAGAATTGAATGCGTTTCAAGGAGGTCCGAGATGGCGGAAAAGACAAGGTGGGAAAATGGGCCTCGAGACATTGTCTTTATGTGACTTTCTCAGACTTTAAATGTACGTTTCAGCACCAGTAGTGTGAAAACGTTGAAGTCATATTTTGTTTTCCCATTTAGTTGTAGGATTGGGTGTTTCTGAGCAGACAAAGAGCAGACGGGAGCCCAGTGAGATGGACCTGGAGGATTCTCCAGTGACAGTCATCAAGGAGACACCGACCAGACCCGTCAGCCGTCTCAGTGACAGAAGCAGCTCTAACTCCATCTACAGGTGGAAGCGAAGGCTGACCCAGCCCCCCTGGCCATCCCCTTTGGGGTGGATGCCAACCACGGGCACTGTGTGGGTTCCGCAGCTGGGTCACAAGGTCTTAAATGAGAGGTGGATTGATGGACCACCACAGCAGAAAGACTCTGAAAAGCTGAGCATTCCGGTGTACTCTCTTGTCCATCCGCATCTGGGTCCGGGCGTGGCTCTGGAAAACCCGAACAGCATTCCAAACCAGACGTATAACTCCAGTGTGAGCAAGGCTGTGTTCCCAACTGGTGCTGGGATACCAGTGACCTCCAGGTTCCCTCAAGGAGCTCAGCAGATACCCAGGCTATATGGGAGAAGAATCATTGAAGATGGTCAAAGGGTGATGATGGGGAGAGATGGAGAGCTGGGAGATGATGACATGCACCAAGATACCTACACATCATACGGAATCGATCGCAAGGTGAACTGGCGACGCACCTTCGACGTGAAGCAGCTGGACTTTCGCGCACTGCCTTCCGATCGCATCAACCTGGGCTGCAACGTAACCGGGAACCTGCTGCTGCCCTCTGAGGACGCTCTTCATGTGGTGGGAGCCTTCATGGAGAAGGTCAACCAGAAGAACCAGGGGTAGGAAGGGCAAGCCATGGCTGTGTGTGTGTGTTTGTGTGTGTGTGGAGCGTACCTATCCTTTCTGTCAGGCCTGTCCTGACTGAAATAAGTTCTGATTCACTGTGACACTCATTCAATATTCAGTTGCTAAAAATTGTTTGAGATTTTGACCTGAGAGCCCTCTGATGCTGGGTAAGATACTGATGGTGCTCTGGCTTCTTGGGCTCTTCCCAGACGCTTCTCCCTGCTGCGTGTGCTCAATGTGGAGAAGAGGCTGGATGGTGCGCAGGGCAGCCGCTACCTGCTGGAGCTGGAGGTGCGTGACCGCGGTGGGGCCACGTTACGCCTTTCCCGGTACGTGTACCTGATGCAGGTTAGATCGACTTCCCAGGCAGACGGAGGGGCCAGGTCGAGGCCGGGCCGCCTGGAGCCGGTACTCTGCCACCCACTGGGCCTGTCCTGGAACCCGGTGGCCACCGTCCACTTTGTCATCCCAGGTGAGAATGATAGGACTGAAGCTGGGTCCGGTTTGTAAGAAGCATTGTTGGTTTTGAACTCCCAAGGGTTCCATGTTTCCAACTTGTTTGCAGTGAAGAATCAGGCCCGATGGGTTCAGAGATTTATCGAGGACATGGAGGAGGTGTACAGAGCTACCCAGGACAAGAACTTCAACGTCATCATCTCCGACTTCAACAGCACGGATATGGATGTCGAGCTGGCACTCAAGGGCTCCGCCTTACCTAGGTGAGCTTGGACGCTCGCTGCCTGAGCTGAGATGCAGAGTTTGGCAGGAACATGTTGAACAGCTGGATGGCTTTGGTTTGAATCAAGAACAAGTCACTGGTTCTTTGCTTGCTTGCCCTGGGTGGCAGGTTGTGTCTGACGCATCGTCTGGCCTGTCCTCCCACAGGTACCAGTACACAAAGCTGACTGGGAACTTTGAGCGTTCGGCCGGACTTCAGGCTGGGATAAATATGATCGATGTAAGTAGAAATACAGACGAGTCCATGGGCCTCTGTCCTGACGTATCTAACGCTCTCATAAATTTGGGAAATACAAGATGGCCATAAATATCCATCCAATTTCTAAGTGCATGTCCTGGTTGGGATCACGGCAAGGCCTGAAAGTTGCTCTACACGTGACAGAGCAGAGGCTAGACCACGCCCTGCCGAGGGTCACCGTGTGTGAATGTGTGTCAGACTTACAGAAAGCAGATTTAAGGGAGAGTGTGTGTCTGAATGGCGGTGCTGACCCCGGCTCACCCTGCAGGACGAGCACAGCATCGTGTTCCTGTGCGACCTGCACATCCACTTCCCCCAATCCATCATCGACAGCATCCGCAAGCACTGTGTGGAGGGCAAGATGGCCTTCGCGCCCGTGGTGATGCGGCTGGACTGCGGCGCCACGCCTGCGGAGCCTCGAGGTGGGTTGGTTGGCGCCTTTCTGGGAGCATCACTCGGTTCATGCAGCCTTTACATTTCAGATTGCATTTGGCCCAGTTCCTTCCTCTTCTCTTTATCATAGACAAACCGACCAACTTAATTACTTATTTGTATTGAAATATGGCAGTTTCTGATTGGTTCTATTTTTTTGTGTGTTCCATCCCTTATTCTGATTGGAGAACACTTTCCACCAATCCCGCTTCCCATTGGCGGTATATTCGGTAGGAATCTCTGTTTGGCTCCCCCAGTACCCGTATTTCTGGTAGGGAGCACAGATCATCCACCACTTTTGCAGGTTTCTGGGAGGTCAACGGCTTTGGGCTGCTCGGCATCTACAAGTCCGACTTGGACGCAGCAGGCGGCATGAACACCCAGGAGTTCCGGGACCGCTGGGGAGGGGAGGACTGGGAGCTGCTGGACCGGTGAGTGGGTCGAGTGTGTGGCTCCACAGGTTGGGGCGCTATGACCCTGATCAGAAGGCTGCCAGCTCAAATCTCAAATTATGTCACTGTTGGGTCGTTGAGTAAGACCCTTAATTCCCAGCTGCCCCAAGGACTGTCTGACCCTGTTTTCATAAAAATGAACATCGCTTTGGATAAAAGCAGAAGTAGCTGCCTCAGGTGCCATCTTCTGAGCAAGCAAGCCAACTTTTCTCAAACTAGGGGCACCAGCGATGAAACTTGGCAAGGGGCACTGCATAGACATCGACTGGCACTGGCTTGAAGCGTCTGCCAACTATATAAATGTAATGATTTTCAGGCCAGTCGGGTCTGTGCCTGTCCACCGTGCTCTTAGCTGGGCCGCAGTGTTAGGGTCAAGCTTCTCGCCCCTGCAGCACAGAGAGAGACGACCAGGTTAGATCAGCTTAACAGCCCCAGTGTGACCCTGCCTGCTCATGAATGAGTGACCAGCACATGCCCGATACTCGAGGTCTTTGCTGACGAGTGTTCCTCACTCCTCTTCCCCTCAGGATACTCCAGGCTGGACTTGAAGTGGAGCGCATTTACCTCAGACACTTTTTGCATTACTACCACTCCAAGCGAGGCATGTGGAACCGGAAGATTCTCTGAGCCAATGAGTACCTGAGTAGGCGGGGCCAGACAGACTCCCACCCTCCAAAGACTCTTTCACTGTCTGGGCTGCATCTAAAGCATATGCCGTGATTATCGTGTGTGTGTGTGTGTGAGAGAGAGAGAGAGAAAGAGAGTATAATTCATAATTCAAGTATGATGATTTTTGTATGTCTTGCAGGGTTTTCTTCAGTTTGCCTTATCGGGTGTGTTCTACGTTAAAATGCAGTAAAAGGTAATCGTTTGGTTGCCGGTGGTGTTCTGGGGTGTCAGTGCCACTAACGACTCAGTTGTTTACAGTCGATTCTCTCCCCCAAGTGTTGTTTCACAATGAAATGAATAGAGCGGGCACTGTGCCAATTGGGTGCCACTTTGCTGGTGTTTCCGCTTTATCCTCAAGGCTGGATGGCAGGAGATGTTTTGCCGTGGCTTTGAGACCATCGACTCGGGAATTATTAATTTAGAATTATCATTTAGAATGTCTTTGAAAAATTAAATGCAAAAAAAAATAAAATTATTTTTTTCAGGATTTTTTTGAATGGAAAGTGGATATCAAATGATTTGCTTTGGTTACTTTTGTCTGTAGTGATTTTAAATGTATTTGGTCATTATTGTTTTTTAATTTTCATCTTGTTTTTCTATTTGAGTTTGTTTACCTGTTATTGGGTTAGAAGCACAAACCTTTACTATTGACACCTCACTCTGCTCAAGAGGTTTGAGGTCAGGAAACTGAACAGAAAATGAAAAAATGACAAATGCTGAGAAGCAAAGCGTCTGATAACCTCAGGAGCGTCGCAGCAGAGGTCTGGGCAGACTGTGGGTGGTCTGCAATGCTGTGGTTACAGTCCACAGAAACGTCCACAGACACACTCTTACAAAATCCATTCAGCAGAAAGAATGGACTTATGGAGACGATACAGAGATGCTTTTCTGTGTGACGTGGCTCATTAGACGTTACTGGAAGCTTCGAGGTTCAGGTCATACGATGAATGTGGCCATGCTGAGCCGAGCGGCTCCGACTGCGGGATTTGGGCGACAGGCAGCGCTGGCCGGAGCTTTCGCCTTTTTTACTCATTCTGTCTTAACGACCATTGAAATTCCTTTGTTTTTTAAATGGGGGACATATCTGCGAGTCGCACTGGTTGCACTTCCTTATGAAATGTAACTGCTCTGTCTCAATGGTTGCCGTTTGGAACCCTGGGTTCCATCTGTTTGTTTGTTTGCTACTTAAACCTTTTTACTGAGAGAGTGGAGGCTGTGGCTGTAAGGAAGCAGGGATAGGCTGTGTCCCAATTCAGGGGCTGCAGTGTACAGGCTGTGTCCCAATTCGGGGGCTGCAGTGTACAGGCTGTGTCCCAATTCGGGGGCTGCAGTGTACAGGCTGTGTCCCAA